TGCATCATCAGCTGGTCGGACTGAATCTATTCTAACTAGCTACCGACGCAGCTGGCGGCCCAGTTTCGCTTGACGTTCCGCTCACCCACTGCGGGTGCGAGTCCGAGAGCGCAGAGCGACGGCAAGAGGGGCCTGATGAGGATGGAGAGAAGAGGCGGATGATTAAACGTCGAACAGACGGGGCGAAGAGGCCGGAGGCGAAGCTGGCGAAGACGGAGAGGCAGAAACAACGGGACGCGTTACGTCACTGGTCACTTGACACGGCCAACAGGCGTGTAAGCGCCGAGAGGGACGCGGCGATTGAGCGAGAGAACAGGCTCTCGATCGTCCTCTGCCAGTTCCTGCCTGGTCTGTAACGCGACGACGACGGCATGGAAGAATATTAGGAATATTGGCCATCAGCGGCCGCGCCGGGTTCAGCTCCGTTCCACGCGCCGTCCACCGCCGTGCTCGGCTTTGGCGCCGTCTGCGTCCATGCCGATGCATGTTCTCCTCCTCCTTCTCTCTATAAATTCCCTCCTCCGTCCCCTCCATCCGAGCTTCCTCCGAGCCCACCCTCTGCTGCCTGAGCTCTCCCTGCGTTCGTCGACCCCGCCATGGTCGTCCTCAACGCCAGGCTCTCCGCCTTGTGCGCTCTCCTCCTCGCCGTCTGCGCCTCCTCCCATGCGCAGTCTACCGTCCTCTCCTCTGTCGCTTCCTCGGCTTCCGCCTCCTCGTCGGACGTCGTCTCTAGCGTGCTCAGCAGCGCTTCCTCCGTTCTCAGCGACGTCTCCTCTTCCGCGCCCGCGTCTGCTTCCTCGGCCGCGAGCGCGTCGTCGCTCTCGTCCTTCTCCTCTTCCGCTTCGGTTTCTTCCGCACTCTCCGGATCCAGCGCCGCGTCCTCTGCTGCCGCGTCCTCTGCTAACGTGTCGTCCTCCTCGATCGTTGGCTCGGCGTCCACCAACGTTACTGCATCGGTAGCGGTCGCGACTTCCACTGGCCCTCCGCTCGAGAGTAGTGAGTGTCTCTCTCTGTCATACATCCATCCGTCTGCCACAGTCGGCATTATGCTCCGTGTGAGACTCGCTGGTTCGGCGTGAGCGTGCTGTATGTACCGGTACTTTTGCGAGACCTGTGGCTCTGAACGACGTGCATGTATGCGGTCATGCTACAGTATGCGTCCGTTCCAGGCGTATGCCCCTTTCTCGGTGCCTTGGCCTCCGCAGATCGCCTTCCGATCGCATGTCACACCACGTTCCCCCGCCTGACGTCTAGATGCCTCTCTCCCTGGTGCACGCCGAAAACGGTAGTGGCATGGTATGCACATGCCCTAACAGGGAAATGACCCTCTTGTGCACTGCGCTGCGAATCGCCACCGCGGCTACAGTACCGTTCAGAGTCGCGCTCCGGACCCGCACTGACCTCGTCTGTCTACATGACGATGCTGACACCTCGGTCCGCTCGCAGCGCAGATCACGCTCCCCATCTCCTCGTACCCCTTCACGCCCTTCCCCGTCCCCTCCGACACCCCCGTGCCGGGCGTCTTCCCTTCCACCACGCCCAAGTCGCCCCCCCCTCCCGGGTCGAGTCTCATCCCGGACTTCGGCCCCGCTTGGGCGAGTGCGCACGCGCGCGCCAAGCAGCTCATCTCCAGCTGGTCGCTTGACGAGAAGGTGTCGGTCGCCACCGGCGTCGGCTGGATGGGTGGCCGGTGCGTAGGCAACATCGCCGCCGTGGAGGACTGGCCGGGACTCTGCCTCGAGGACTCGCCCCTGGGCGTGCGTTTCACCGACTTTGTGACGGCGTTCCCGGCAGGCATCACGACGGCCATGACATGGCAGCGCAGCCTTTTCCGCGCGCGGGACTCGCGATGGGCCAGGAATTCAAGGGCAAGGGCGTGCACGTCGCTCTGGGCCCCATGATGAACATGGGTAGGATCGCCCAGGGCGGGCGCAACTGGGAGGGATTCGGCGCGGACCCGTTCTTATCGGGCGAGGCCGCGTACGAGACCGTCCTTGGCCTGCAGCAGGGCGGCGTGCAGGCCTGCGCGAAGCACTACATCAACAAGTCAGTGTCCTCCCTTTCGAAGGGGCTTGCGTTGGCGTACTGATGGATTTGTGCGACTAGCGAGCAGGAGCACTTCCGTACCCAGGAGTCGTCAAACGTGGACGACCGCACCGAGCATGAGGTGTACGTGCACCCGTTCATGCGCGCCGTGCAGGCCGGCGTCGCAAGCGTCATGTGCAGCTACAGTGAGCCTCCTCCCTCGTCGCGCTGCGACGCAGCTCACTCATTCCCGTCTTCACCCCGCGCTAGACCTGGTCAACGGCACTTACGCGTGCGAGAACGACCGCACGCTGAACCAGATTCTCAAGGACGAGATTGGCTTCCAGGGATACGTGATGTCCGACTGGAGCGCGCAGCACTCAACGCTCTCTGCCGTGGCCGGCCTCGACGTGAGTTTTGCCCATTCCTCCCCTCCTTCTCGCCAGATCGACGCTCAACGCTCGGGTCACGGCAGATGTCGATGCCGGGCGATATCACGTTCGGCTCGCACACGTCGTACTTTGGCATGAACCTGACAGACTTTGTCGAGAATGGGACGATCGCGGAGGCCCGCGTGGACGATATGGCGGAGCGCATCATTGCCGCCTGGTATCTCCTCGGCCAGGATAAGAACTATCCCGCAGGTTCGTCTTCTGCCTCTCCTTCTATGGTCAACGGCATGCGAGGAAATGACGTTGGCTGACGGTGGCTGGCGTTAGTGAGCTTCAACGCGTTCGACACGACCGACCCCGCGACGAACGCGCACGTTGACGTGCAGGACGACCACTACCAGGTCGTGCGCGAGATCGGTGCTGCTGGTACCGTGCTACTCAAGAACGTCGGCGCCGCGCTCCCCCTCAAAAAGCCGCGCAGCATCGCCGTCATCGGGAACGACTCCGGCCCCAGCCTGCGCGGCCCGAACGGCTATTCCGACCGCGGCGGCGACGACGGTACGCTCGCGATGGGCTGGGGCTCGGGCACAGCGCAGTTCCCGTACCTCATCACGCCGCTCGAGGCGATCCAGGAGCGTGCGCGGCAGGACTCGCCCGGCTCGCAGGTGTCGTGGTTCCTCGGCAACTGGGACCTCGCGGGTGCGGAGGCGACGGCGCTGGACCAGGACGTCGCGCTCGTGTTCGTGAACGCGGACTCGGGCGAGGATTACATCACCGTCGACGGGAACGAGGGCGACCGGAAGAACCTCACGCTCTGGGGCAACGCGGACAACCTCATCAATGCCATCGCGGGGGTCAACCCGAATACCATCGTTGTCGTGCACTCCGTCGGGCCCGCGATTCTCGAGCCGTGGATTGAGAACCCGAACGTGACCGCGGTGCTGTGGGCTAACCTTCCCGGAGAGGAGTCTGGTAACGCGCTCGTGGACGTGCTCTGGGGCGACGTGAACCCGTCCGGACGCCTGGCGTACACTATTGCGAAGAGCCCGTCCGACTACGGCGCTCAACTGGTCACGGGCGGCTCCGGGAATGAGATCCTGAGCATCGACTACACCGAGGGCCTCAACATCGATTATCGCCACTTTGACGCCGTATGTTCTATCTGCCCCGCTGATGGTTTTCGGTGAAGGAGACTGATCGTCCTGCGTTTGCAGAACAACATCCAGCCGCGCTTCGAGTTCGGCTTCGGCCTGTCGTACACGACCTTCTCCTACTCCGGGCTGCGCGTCTCCGTCATCCCCCAATGGGACCCGACGTCCGCCGCGCTCGAGGCCGCATGGGCCGCGGGCAAAGCCGCGCCCGCCGCTGCAGGCGGGTCGACCGCGCTCTGGCTGCACCGGCCGGCGTTCGAGGTGACGTTCCAGGTGCGGAACACGGGCGACGTGGCGGGGACGGAGATCGCGCAGCTGTACGTGCACTTCCCCGCGAGCGCGGGCGAGCCGCCGAGCGTGCTGCGCGGGTTCGAGGACGTGCAGAACGTGCGCCCTGGCGAGAGCCGCACGGTGACGATCACGCTCTCCCGGTACGACCTCAGCGTGTGGGACGTTGTCGCGCAGGGGTGGAGGAAGCCTCAGGGCGCGTTCACGTTCTCGGTCGGCGCGAGCAGTCGCGACTTCCGCCTCAAGGGCGTCTTGCCCGTTTGAGGACCGCGCCTCCTCCGTCTGCGTGGGTGAAAACGGTGCGGATCTAGACGCATCCGGTTCGTTTGGAGGGAGGGAGACGGCAAAAGGGGGTCGAGATGGAGAATGGATGGATTGTACAAGGCTGCATATCTACAAGAGGGCCTGCGCACTGCTACCACCGGTGAACTGACTTTGACTACGGACCGCGCGTACATACCGTACGCTGCTGCTGCTGCTGCTGCTGTTACTGCCGTCGTTGCTGCTGCTCAACGTCGTATATCCCGCCCTGGCTGGCTACCTGCCCCGTGCTTCCACGTTGAGCGGTCGATACCTTTGATCAATAGACCGCGTGCGCGTTGCATTACAGTACTTACCGTGCGAGACCTCTCGCTGGCTGCCTGGGTACCTGCAAGGTGGGCATGCGTACCGTCTTCTGCCGAATTTCCAGAGTCTTCAGGTGAGCTAGCGTACATGCCACAGCGCGCGCGCGTCGTGTACGACCGGAAAGCATCCATGCCCCAGGGCTGCAGGTCGAGTCTCCCTTGTCGCCCATGATGGAACTCGACGACTGCAGTCGATCTTGTTCTGACGATACTCCAGGTTATGCACCGCACAGCGCGCAGCACGCGAATGGGGGTTGTTTTCCTCGACCCGGCCCGCGAGTGTCGACGGAATGGCAGCAGTCGACGCTTGAGGCTTGGCATGGCACATGCATCTATATGGCTTGTTCTCTCCCAGGAAAGATAGCTGTAGCTGTAGCGCTAGCGTCGCTGTCTACCACGGCCGCGTGTCTCTCTAGGTATGTGCGCGTGTGCGCTCTGCGCGACAGCGCCCCGCGGTGCACGTACCGCTAATAGCGCGACCGAGTGCTGTATGCCAAAATGCCCAGGCTGATGCCATATGCACTGAGCGGGGGTCGAACCCGCGCCGCTTGCTGACCGCTCTTGACGAGAAATGGGTGTCGGGTGTCGGGTGAAAGGCAAGCATGGCGCCGTTTCCACCATCAGTGTCCTGAAGAACTAGTATCGTACAAACACTTTCTCCGAGTTCCCAACCGCCAGCCGAGCGTGAGCACAAACCATGCAGAAAACCGAACACAAGCCCGCCCAAGGAGTCTAAGAGATGAAGCAGAAGAAAAGGAAGGAGTATCTAGAGAAAGTAGGCTTACGCCCCTGCACGTCCGCAGCTACCCAAAAGCCGCGCAACAAAATGATGACGCAGCGACCGACCGGCGCCGTCGAAGGCACGCCGGGACGAGGGCAGACCGACGTCCGTGCAGGAGGCCGTCAGAATACTATCACTAGATACGGCATATGAAGGGGGGGTCAATTTCGCGGGCCGGGTGGCTCAGGGGCGACTGGGCTCGGCGGAGGCGCCGTCGGCGGCGGCGGTCATATTCGCGATGAGCTTGCGGACGCGGTCGGAGCGGGGGCGGAAGGCGCACGTAAAGTCCTTCGGGTGGCTACATCGCGGGCGCGAGAGTCAGCAGCGCGAGTCGGACGGACGGCGGAGGCGTTCGTTACCTGACAAAGCCCGAGATGAAGGCGGCCTCCGGGACGATGGGCCGGCCGCTGAGGGCGTCCTTGGCGAAGGTGAGGTCCATGGTCGCGATGATGTTCGCCGCGGCGAGCCATATGCCTGCCTCTGCGAACGCCTGCCCTGGGCAGATCCTTGCCACGGGGGGAGGGGGGGGGGCGTCAGCACGTACGTACGATACAGAGACGTGACGAGAGTGGGACGAGCCGTACCGACGACCGAAGCCGAACACGACGTTCCTGGGATCGGTCCGTTCTGCTTCTTCCGGGGACATGCCCACGTACCGCTCCGGGTCGAACTTCTCCGGCTCAGGATAGATCTCGGGGTCGTTCGTCATCCACCTGCGGACGGGGCACATGAGCGAGGGAGAGTGCAGTGGGATCTGGCTTCGGCGCACCAAATGTTTGGAATGACCATCGCGCCGTCCGGGATGTGGTGCCCGCGGTACACGTCGTCTGACTGGACCCTGTGTGGTACGCCTGTGTATGACAGAACTGTGAGAACATACTGTACTCAGGGCTTGCGCAACATTGTGGCTCACCGAGGGGAACTGGGGCGTTCCATCTGGCGGGACAATCATTATCGGGCGTCACGACAAGATTATCAGCGGCAGACCCACCTGAAGACCTCCCTGAGAACACAGTCGAGATACGGGAGGTTGGCCTGATCTTCCCAATCGGGAAGACGATCGGGACCGACGACCCGGTCGATCTCCGCCTGCGCCTTCTTGTAGACGTCCGGGTGCAGCACCATGGCCAAAACAAAGCTCTTCATCGCAGTAACGGTCTAAAATCCGAGATAAGCCGTAGGCGACGGCGCCCGCAGCGGGGCTTGCTTACGGTGTCTGTCCCGGCTGCGTCAAGCATCAGTTACGTCCTGATTCAAGGGTTCCAGTTCAGAAGGGCGTACCGGCGTAGATAACTCCGGCTGCGCCTTTGATGTCCTCCTCATGCTCTGGAGATGTTATCCCTTCGGCAGCAGCTTCCTCAATCAGTTCAGCCGTGAACGAAGGTGCTGCCGTGCCAGCATGCTACAGTGCCGGCAGTCAGTCCATGCTCCGAGCTCTTGCTGGGCACCTACCAAAGCGCGCTTGACCATCTCGAACGGCGTGTCCAGCGTCTTACGAATGAGACCGCGTACGTAGTAGGCGCGGTGCTTGAACCCGGAACCGGGCGCCCATAACGGAATGCCCTTCACTGCGCGCGGTCTGTCAGCGCGCCGATGAACAGAAAGCGCAGCACGCTACCACTCACAGATGGGGAAGAAGTCGACGAGCATGGAGCCGGGGCTGCCGGCTTTGACGGTCTCGACCGTTGTGGCCTCGGCGAGCGCGATGTATTTGTCCTCGAGCGAGGTGACGCGGTGGCCGTACGCGATTTCCATGATCGTCGCCGCCGCCCATCTGCGCCGAAGATCAAGCGTCAGGCGGCTAATCACCCTCGTACGTATCGAGCATCGACTAACCGTTTGATGTGGTCCATGAAGAGCTCGGGGGCCTCGCACAACCCCGACAGCAGCGTGTAGGTCTCGCGCCGCTGGATGGGGCGGTATGTCGCGAGCTTTGGTTTGGAAACGAAGGCGTCCTGGAGCCACTTGCGGTGCTTACGAAAGCGCTCGCCGTACGGCAGGTTGTTGAGGACGCTATCCCATCCCATGCTGCGACCTGTCAGCAGCATAGGGTTTACGGAGACCCTAATGCTCACATCTCTGAAAGGAGAATGAAACGCGGTCTGTCGGAATATTTGGCGCTGCGTTTCTCCAAAAGGTCGACCGCGGCTTCCCGAGAATTGAGCACGATCGCAGGCGTCCGGAAGAACCGCGCGAAGACGACGTCTCCTGCAAGAACTCGGATGTCAGTTGGCAGCTGACTACGTGCATGATAGACGCACCGTATGTCCTGCCCCATTCGGCCAGTTTCCGTTGCTGGTAAGTCGTCGGGAGCTGGTGGACGTTACCAAGCACAGGGAGGGACGGCGGGCCGGGAGGGAAGCGGGGCTTGTCGCCCTTGAAGTAACGAGTAAACGCAGCTCTAAGAGCCACAATTACGAGGAGGAACACGGACAGCACGGAGGCGCTAGCGGCAAGCGACGACTGGAAAGCCATGGCGAGCTATCCAGAGGCGATCTGACGGGGGCGAGAACGAGACAGAGGTGAGGGGGCGTACTTATAGACTTCACAAGCGTGCATACCTTCAAGCTGAGCAGAAGCGGGGATCATAGCAACGGAGGCGACGAGCGGCAATTCTCGGCGAAAGATACTGGCTGAGTTGGGAGAGCTTCGAGCCCGCTCAACGGCGTGCTCGCGCGTCTGGTCGGGCGCCTGCGGCTGGCTGGCGGTATCCCGGTTCCTAAACGTGGCTTAGATATGCATTTCGGAGTGGATCGATTTGATTCGGAGACTGAGTTTCAATGTGGGTCCAACGTCCAAGCATTCCGACAGACTCGCATTGGACCTTCTCATCTCACGAACTTGAACGTCGCCAATACGCCCTCATTCGGGCGGCGTTCTAACCGGAGGCGGTCAGCGTGAGGCGGCTTACATGTGACGACATTTGCCACCGAGACCGGTGTTGGCTCGCGGCTTACTCGAGATGGGATATCGCCGGTGCGCTTGCGCGCAACGCACCCACAGTACAGCACCCTGCCTGAGCCCCAGATACAACCTGTCAAAGAAGGCGTTGAAGCGGGAGTAGGTGCTCGAGAGCCCTCAGACTAGGTGTATTGCGAGAAAACTGAAGCTGCGCACCCTGAGGGATAGGAGCACAGGGTGGTATGCGGAGATAGGGCCTGGCGACGAGTTCTTTTGATTTTCAGATGTTGCCGACACTGTGCGCGGTATGGGCTCTCTGGCTAGAGCTGGCTCCACCGAGTTTCCGATGCAGCGATACAGTCCTCCGTGTTGTCTTTGCAGCTGTTCTCAGGCGACGTGTGAACGAGCACGGGCGGGGCACCGTCTTCAGGCAGCTCCAGTGACGTAATCTTCCCGATACGCATTGTCTCGTCTCGTCGGAAGCGATGTGGTAGATCCGAGGCCTCCTCATAGAACTCGGATAAGCTGCATGGAAGCGTGCTGAACGAACGGAAGATGGCGTTTTGCCAGACGGCCAGACAACGCGTCCCGCTGCATGAGTCCAACTAGGATAGGCGCTCGTTGGGAAGCGTCAGAAAGTACTCCCGGACGTGCCTCATTGTCCATACCCGTACCTTCTCATACTTGTGACTTGTATACCCATGTTGTCGCTGACATCCGCGTCGCGCCAGGCCTTTCTGAACTAACGCCAGACAGCCAATCTAGGCACAAAGCACTCGGCTAGGATGGATGTCCTCGATAGAGCTGTAGAAGACTCACAGAGACGTCTTATGCACGCCAATCGCTGAATGTACGTGCACAATTTCGTCGCAGAACTGAATCCCAGTTACTGTCTGGTAGGCATCCAAGCGTCAATGCCATGACCTACCGAATCATATTGCGCAAGCGCTCGTCCAGAGCGTTGTAGGTCCAACATGTCTATCGGCAGTTGCCGCAAACATCTCACCGGGATTTATGCCAGGACAATACTAGTGCGCCCCATATCCAATGGCTTGACAAGCTAACAGCTTCTTAGGTCCTCGCTAAACCAATAGATGCCGCGCCCTGGAAGGATCAGTCGCCTTAATCGGAACAGAAGGCCCGAGCTGCGACCTACGATCGACTATCGGTACGCCTGGTTGAGCTTGGCGAACATCTAGCTGGTAAGCGGGAGTGCGTCGAGCACAGAGAAACGGGTCCGTGCGGGCGTCTTAGCAGCAACGACCTTGCCTCGCCATAGCGTTTGACACCCTTCTCCCGCGTCGCTGTCTCGTCTAGACCTCAGACGACCCGTCGGCCCCGTCGCCATGAACCCTGTCTTCCTAGCACGTGCACTTTCCCCAGCTACGAGTGATTGAGTTCATTCCAGACGCATGGAACCACAATCCGCAAAGGGACCTCTTAGCGCAACTGTAGCATCTGTCCTGACAGTCACGGACTGGACATGCGCACCCTCGCTACGGTCCGAGTATGCGCCATCTCCTCCACCGAGCTATAAGTAGCACAAGAGGTCAGCGTCGCTTCGTTCCTGTAAGTCGGTATAGCTGACCTTCGACCACCGGCAGGTTAGTGAGACTTCTCAGCACAGGCCCTAATGAAATGCTTCCTATTCGTCTTTCTCGCGGTCCATCTCACCTCAGCTGTACTGTATCATCTGCAGCGTCGAGACGGGACGGCTATGTTAGCATGCATCTCTTTGGACTGGGTGCCCTACCAGGTTGCATCTCTAGTGCCCATGCTGCGAGAGCCTGCGATAACGCCCGAATTCTTCCAGTTGACGAAAAGGTCCATCGAAGGGTGCCGCGATCCCAGTTCTCCGTCTGGGCAGTGTACATCCGACTTCTTGGCCAGCTGGACCCGTATGCTTCATGGGAAATCATGTCCAAGAGCAAGGCCGGCGTCGCTG